ATATATATATATATATAATACACATAAGATGAATGGGCTGGAAGGGCATACACACCACTAAATGTCCGTGGAACCAAGTGCGCTCACTCCAACATATTTAGCAACACATTTGCTTATGTGGTCACCTCGCAGTTAATTGCTTCTTCCCTGTAACTTATTTCAAGGGTGCACATTGGGCTACTCGAGAGTAGTCTGTTCAACATTTCTATGCTCAAAATTACATGTGTTGCGCTTAGGTGCTGTGCAAGGTCCGCGCTACATCAGTTCACTTCCTGCGATGGCGCTTTGCCAAGAAATCATCGTTGTAGACTGCTTCATCATTACGCTAGAGTAATAAATTTTCTTGAGATCATCGAGCCAATATGCTCATAGATTTGCAGAGAATATAAGCTGCAAAGCAGCGGGGCGTGAATTCCGTTGTGCCGATTCGCAGAAATGCATTCCAATAAAATTCCGATGTGACGGGCACCGGGACTGTGACGATGGGTCCGACGAACAGGATTGCTGTAAGCGTGTATTCCATTTCTATTTGATTTATTCTCCTTTTCAATTTCCTCATTTCAATGAAGCCGAAGTATCTATCCAGAATCATAATTTAAGTACCTTTCCCCTTACAGCCCTCTCATACCTTCAAAAAAAAAAACTCGATTAGGAAGCTTGGGTGTGCGCATCGAACCTAACTGTATCAGTCCTACAATAATATCAAGTCACATCCTGTTACTAAGACATATCCTGATTTAAGGTATAAAGTCACTGGCTAACATAAAAGTCATTCCTCATCAAGCTTTTTGTACTTCGTGTAATTTGAAGACATAAAAACCGATCGTGGAACGAATTTTAAAATTAAAAGTTTAGATTTCTGAATAATTTTTCACAACACATACATACACACATGCACACACGCACACACCGACTTGATTCACCTCGCTATGCGAATGTGCTTATTGGTACTAGAATGGTCCAAAACTATGATTTGCTTGATTTTGTTCTGTAGCACGAAACACAGTCATATGCATAAAGCTCATTTTTCGTAAGGCTTTTCGAAATAATGCATACTAAAGGATTTCTAAAAGCAAATAATTGATGACTTGTGCCGCTACTATTTTTTATGCGCTTTTGCATATATGTAAATTGCAAAGACGCATATTGGGAAGAGGCTGTCTGTGTGT